AGTATTTTAAATATGTTATTACACTCTCATCTTGCTTACATTGTTTTGAGAGAGCAGCCCAATGATAATCTTTTACTGTTTCTTCCACAGGTAAAGTATTTTATTTTTCTCTATCATCTTTCAAGATTTTCTGTTTGTCTTTTCTCTTAGGTATTTTTTTGGGGGAGGGGTTGTTTATTTTATTAGGTTTTGTTTTTTGTATTTATCTTGCTTCCTGTTTTCTAAGCCTCTTGGACATATGGTTTGATATCTGTTAGAAAATTTGGAAAATTCTTAGACATTGTAACCTCCAGCATTTTCTGTTCTTTTTTTCTCTTTGTTGTCTTTTTTGTATTCCCATTATGAGTATGTTACATTTTTTGTAATTGTCCTGCAGTTTTTGGATATTCAATTATTCTCCCTTTTTTTGTTTGCATTTATTTTATTAGTTAATTTTTAATTGCATTTTAGGTTTTGGGGTACATGTGAAGAACATGCAAGACTGTTGCATAGGTACACACATGGCAGTGTGGTTTGCTGCCTTCCTTCCCCTCACCTGTATCTGTCATTTCTCCCCATGCTATCTCTCCCCACCTCCCCACCCCCCGTCCCTCCCCCATTTCCCCCCAACGGACCCCAGTGTGTAATGCTCCCCTCCCTGTGCCCATGTGTTCTCATTGTTCAACACTCACCTATGAGTGAGAACATGCGGTGTTTGATTTTCTGTTCTTGTGTCAGTTTGCTGAGAATGATGGTTTCCAGGTTCATCCATGTCCCTACAAAGGACACGAACTCATTGTTTTTGATGGCTGTGTAATATTCCATGGTGTATATGTACCACATTTTCTCTGTCCAGTCTATCATCGATGTGCATTTGGGTTGGTTCCAGGTCTTTGCTATTGTAAACAGTGCTGCAATGAACATTTGTGTGCATGTGTCCTTATAGTAGAATGATTTATAATCCTTTGGATATATATCCAGTAATGGGATCGCTGGGTCAAATGGGATTTCTATTTTTAGGTCATTGAGGAATCGCCACACTATTGATGTATCTACGAACTCACTTATGCTTTCTCATATCCAGTCTACTACTGAGCCCACCAAAGAATCTTTGTTACTGTTACAGTGTTACTTATTTCTGGTATTTCCTTTAGATTCTTGTTTAACAAGTTTTCATCTCCTTGATTGGCATGATTCATCTATTACTGTATATTCACTTTTTCCATTAGAGGCCCACTGCAGGTTGAATTGTGTCCCTGGAGAGAAATGATGAGAAATGATGAATCCTAACCTGCAGTACCTATACTGATAAACTTATTTGGAAGTATGGCCTTAGCAAACAAATATAATTTGTTAAAATGAGATTATACTTGAGTAGGTGGGCCCCTAATCCAATATGATAAGTGCCCTTATAAAAGCTGGACACAGAGACAAGAACACAGGGAGAACATCATGCAGAGATTGGAATTACACTACCAGAAGCCAAGAAACGAACAGAAGCTTAAGAAGCTTGGAAAATCTTCCCGAGTGCCTTTAGAGGGAGTATGGCCCTGCTGACAGCTTGATCTTGGATTTCTAGTCTCCAGAACAGAGACAATACCTTTCTACAGGCTAACCCTCTACGTTTGTGCTACTTAGCTGTGGCAGTCCTACCAAACTAATAAAGCATTTTAGCTTGTTTCACTTTTTATTTTGTCCTCTGTATGTTCTTCAGACTAAATTTCCACATATTTTCTTTTTTTTTCTTTCTTTTTTTTTTTTTTTTTAGATGGAGTTTCGCTCTTGTTACCCAGGCTAGAGTGCAATGGCGCGATCTCGGCTCACTGCAACCTCCGCCTCCTGGGTTCAGGCAATTCTCCTACCTCAGCCTCCTGAGTAGCTGGGATTACAGGCACACGCCACCATGCCAAGCTAATTTTTAGTATTTTTAGTAGAGACGGGGTTTCACCATGTTGACCAGGATGGTCTCGATCTCTTGACCTCGTGATCCACCCGCTTCGGCCTCCCAAAGTGCTGGGATTACAGGCTTGAGCCACCGCGCCCGGCTCATATTTTCATATTATATGATTATATTACTGTTAATAGTTTTAGGTTAATTTCAATGTATTCAGAGAATGTACTCTCTTTCTATGTAAATTTTATTGAAATTTGTTTTCTGCCACAAAATATTCAATTTTGATAAATATTTTATTTGTATTTATAAATAATGTATATCTACAATGGTTAGTTACCATGTTTTATATATGTCACATCAAATTTTTAATATATTTGTATTATTCTATTAATATAACATTTCAAACTTTTGTCTGCATGTTTTATAATTTACTCAGAGATGGGTGTTAGTGTTTTCTTTTATAATTGTGGATTGCCTACTTTTCATTTTGCTTCTGAAATGTTTTCTTTTTATTTTCTCATTACCATATTACATACAAATTGTTCATGTTACTATTTCAGTTATATTTTTGAAGTATATTATGCCTTTTTAAGGTCATTTTATGCTTCTTTATTTAAAAGCTACTTACACAAATATGAACACAAAAATCTAGCTTGCTTTTGTGTTTGAGTTGTATATCTTTTTCTATTCATTTACTTTTATTGCATATTTTAATTAATCTATTAATTTGTTTTCTATCAATTTTTACTCATTTTGCCTTTTTTTTTTTCCTTTTTTGGCATTAGAAACTTTTTACTGAGTGGGATGAAAATATTACAGGGTGAAGGAAGGCTGAGGAAATTAATATGAAGGAAGCTCAAATGAAGTTTTGGTTCATTTTTTTAAAATTGTACTTTAGGTTCTTGGGTACATGTGCAGATCATGCAGGATTGTTGCATAGGTACAGACATGGCAATGTGGTTTGCTGCCTCCATTCCCCTCGTCACCTACATCTGGCATCTCTCCCCATGTTATCCCTCCCCTACCTCCCCACTCGCCGCTGTCCCTTCCTTGGCCCCCACCAAAAGACCCCAGTGTGTGATGCTCCCCTCCCTGTGTCCATGTGTTTTCATTGTTCAACACCCCCCTATGAGTGAGAACATGTGGTGTTTGATTTTCTGTTGTTGTGTCAGTTTGCTGAGAATGATGGTTTCCAGCTTCATCCATGTCCCTACAAAGGACATGAACTCATCATTTTTTAGTTCATTTAAAGTTAACATAATCACTGATACATTTGCTTTGAAATTTACCATTTTACGATTTGCTTTTCATTAGGTTAGACAGGAGCCCTTTCTGGCTACATAAGGGCACCTTCATTACTCATCACATAACTTCCTCCATCTTCAAACTGACAATGGTTTATCAGTCCTTTTCATTCTTCAAATCACTCTGACTTCATCTTCTGTCACAGATTTTCTGCCTCCAGTTAAAGAAAGCTTTCTCCTGTTAAGGCCTTGTGTCATTACGTTAATACAATGAAGATAGCACAGGAGAATCTCTCTACTTTAAGGTAACTGATTGATTAATTATAGACACAAAGTCTCTTTATCATGTAATATAACACATTTGTAGGTTATGGGGACATCTTTTTAGGGCCAACTGTCCTAGGTCCCAAGTAGTAACAGTAACAGAGAAACTTGTTCAATCATCTCACATCTAATAGTATACAAGATTCACTTGAATTGATTGCCAATTAATATTATACCCATTCACTATAAAACGTTCAAGGGGAAGAAACTACATTCATTAAATAAAACAGGATAACAGGGAAGAACATATGTTTTATATTTTGTGGCTGAGAAAATTTTAATATTTATACATTAAAATGGCAATTACCTAAGTAGTTCCTTAAATTATGAAATTATTGATACTCAATGTTTCACAAAGGGATTTTGTATTCTTAAAAATGTCTTCTTTGTTAAGCTTAACATCAAAGAAGGTGAATGACAAACCTTCTATGTGCAAACATATTTAGCATAAATTATCTCTTTTATTTTCTTTGATGAATCTAGAATGCCTACCAATAGCTGTAACTATTTTTCTATTTTTAAAATTAAACATTTAATAACCACCAATAACATTTTTGAGTGCTTTAAAAATGGTGTCAAAATAGGTCATATAATTTCAGTCAGAGTCAAGAATGTGAACATTTTACCTATAGCCTTATGTTGACTTTCCACGAAATGTTTTTAAGGTCTTGCCAAGTACTTAGAGACCACAGTTTCATCATTCACAGACAGCCTAGAATCACAGAGTAACACTATGCTTATAAACAATGTTTCTTTTTGTTGTTGTCTTGTGACACTCTTCCTCCTTGAAAAATATACGATATATTCAGTAATATGTTTTTCTCCAAAGTAGTGGTTTAAGTACTTGCTTGATTTCAGTTTAAGTAAAATACCTAATTTCTAAAATTATTTCCTTTGGTGTTTTTAATGTCTGAATTCAAATGAACAAGATTTAAAACTCTTGGTTATGGCTCAATGTAGATAGCAAAACATATGATCAAAATGAAAGTATGAAGGATTTTACATCCTAAGGCCAGCGGCTTATCTACTGGAGCACATTCGGTCCCTGGTGTGGCACAAAAACATTCAATTTCATTCTTGCTTCAAGAAGAAATACCACTGTATAAATGGTCCATGTAGCAATTTGACCATTTACAATTGAGGGGCCACTTTAAACCTGAGTAATATACCCAAGGGAGTCATGGTGACCACCCAAAAAAAAAAATCATAATAGGTTTATGCAGTAGTTTCAGGCACCAGAGGGAACAACTTCTTCACAGAGAACACCTTAAAATGAAGTAGCATGTTCCAAAAAGAACAAAATGTCTCCTTAGAATGAACAAGTAAGTTGGTTTGCTAAAAGGTACAGTGAATTTCCTCCAAAAATATTGTGGCTAACTGATCTTATTTCACTTCTACCCTAAATCATCTCTACTTTGACATGCAGTGACCATGTTTGAGGAATTTCAGTAATTTTAAAATGAAACGGTTTATTCATTAGGCTAATTCATATTCTATTTTAAAAAGATAGGATGACACAAGAAATAAAATACATTGTTTTACTGAAAACTATATTATAGGATAGTCCAGGAACTCAGAAGCATTTCCAGCTTTGTAAGTTTGTGTGATAGTTGAGTCAGACCAAAGGAGTTAACAGAAGAATTCGAGAAACACTAGCCCCAGTATCTTGAAATGAATGGCAAGACACAGAAGCCTACAGCCAAAGGTAGAGAAGAGTAAGTATGAATAACATAAAGAATAGTAAGTAGGAGTTGGAGTGGTAATCAGATGTAAGTAGCAAATATTTCTGGAGGTTGTCAAGCAGTAGGCAAATAGCCATAATATATCAGACAAAATAAATTATAAATCTAATATCTAGACCACATCAGGAAATTCTGGTTTTCATTGTGTACAGTTATGTCTTCATTTATTGAACAGATTTGTGAAACAAAATTTCCTGCAAATAAATTCCAGAGTAATGTTTTGAGGTAGTGGAGAAGATGTAAGATTTGGAATCGGACAGATTTGGGTATTAATTCCAACAATTGCCTCTGAGGGCTGTGTTAATTTGTAGAAATTATTTACTTACCAAAGCCTCAGGTCTTCTATCTGTAAAAGTGGAGCAGATAAAAACTGTTCAATTACCTGGAAGTGTCAAATAAAAAATATACATGAAATACCTATGAATACAAAACTTGGCTAATGCAAGTTTTTTTTTTTTTTTTTTCTCTCCCTCTTCCTTTTTTTTTTTTTTTTTTTTTTCCTTTTTCCTGTATAAATCCCAGTCTCTTGTGAATATATGAATAAAAGTAGAAAAATGTGTTTTGGAGAAATTCCTTCAGTAAATGAACCTTTTAAAACTACAGTATCAGAGAGGCACTGAATATTCTGAGACCTCTACCTTTTCCCTTACTAGAGTATTTCAAATGTTCCTTTGCTGTCACAGGGGATTCTCAATGTTTAATGATTCCCATATCACAATTTCTCATCTCAATTGGTCTGTCTATAGATAATGTTGCATTGCAAAATTCTCTGAGGCTGTACTCAAACTTACCAGAAAAAGGTGTCATTGTTGACGATAATGTTCCATATATTCTAGAGCAGATCATTTTCCCTCTCTGAAATTGGGGTGTGTCTTGGAATCAGTGGCATGTCACAGTCTAGTTGGCAACAGTATTTTTCTGTTTTTCAATTGAACATAAAATAATGGTGTGTCTCATGATTGATGACATCTTAGAGTTAAAGAAACATGGTAAGCAGTGTCTGCCATAGGCACAGAAGAGACAATGGAGGCCAGCCATCTTAGACTTAGTAAATTTTATGAACTTTAAAATTTTTATGTGTAAAATAAGTTGCACTGTTTTATCAAGAGCCACTTTGTAATTCTCTAAAACAAGATTACTTAGATTCAGATATACTTATATGCAATATAAGTATATACAGATATACTTTTATATAAAAGTAAAGAGATATAAATGTATTTTCTACTTCCTTTATGACTCTAAGTTTATTAATGGTATGTGAAAGGTATTTATATTCATTCAGTATTTGAACAAAACCTTACCCAGGTTTTCAAAATATTTGTAGAGATGATGCATTGACTGCAGAGAAATGTGTTGGTTTATTTTAGTTACATACACTTTTTATATAATATTTTATAACCTGTAGGTGGCCAAAACATACATTCATAATACATCCTCTAGAAAAAAAATGTTAAGGTGTTGAATGTGGTCATATTGAATTTTAATAAGTTTAATTAAAATTAATTTTTTTAAAAAATTATTAAAACCATGGCCAGAGTTCTATGGTCTATCCCTATATTTATATATTCTTATTGGTATATATAATTATAATTTTAGATAATTATTTACAACTCTTTATATAATGTATACCTCTAAATATATGGTGCATTAATTCTAAGACATTGATTCTAAATTTTTAACCTCTCTAAAAGAGAATCTTCTCTTAGAGTCAATGATATAATTATCATTGGTGGAGGTTTTATTTTTGTTAATGGTACCAAAATGCGTTGTACATTCTACAATCAATGGAATCTTAGATTAAACAAGTGGAATAGAAAGATAGATATAAAGACAGCTAAGAAAGATAAACCTTCTACATAGATACTTATTACCCTACTCTTTTTTTCCTCAAGACATAAATTATTCTTCTAGAAAATATATTGCAGGAAAATATATTACAAACCAATAATTACCTTTAAGAGAAGCTAACTTACTCTAAATTTCTTCAGAATGTGCAAAGAACTCAGTATTTTGAAGATATTCTTTTAATTTCCAAAGTATTATAATGTCATAATATTATGGATTAGAGTAAAATTATAGAGTAAAAGAATATAGATGGTGATCATAGCCTGGATTATAAATTTATTGATTATTAACATTATTTCCTTTGCAAAGAAACTGAGTTTGTGCTCAAAGATTAATTAATTTTTTTCCAGTGATAGAAAGTTATTTTTATTTGGGGAAAAATATTACATGAACAATGTTATTTTAATAATCTTTATGTATTCCATATTTGATTTACTTGAAAATGAATTCATGAACCATATTTGAAATCCCACTAAAATATATTCCATTTTTAACTAAAAGTAAAAATACATTAATCAAAATGTTGTCACCTTTCATCTGGTATAAATCACTAATTTGAGACTAGTTTAAATTATTAAATAAGTATGTGTATAAAGATATAACTAAGTGGATATCCTTTTCTGTTAATATTAGAAAAGCTGAAAATATTTTAAACATTTCAAGCTATGATGGTTTGAGTAAATACATTACAATTCATTCATGTAATAAAGAGAATGCTTGCTATTAAAGTCAGATTGTTAAAACAAGCATGAAAAAGAGTTAATGTCTGTGAGATAAGGTTACTACAATGATTACAAATTTACTCATATATTGGGAAACACACATGCTTATTACATTTTCAATATAAAAATGTGAATACTTCTGATTTTTCTATAGTGATACTCAGTTTTGTATATTTAAAAAATAAGAAAAACAAGACAGAATACACGAGAGCCAATAGAACTTAACGATAAGAGCAGCTAGGAAATGGGAACAAAAACTTAAAGACAAACAGTTTTGTCCTTCTATGTGTGTTCTTATTAAGTTTATGCATCATCTGGCTGTTGATTAATTGAGTGTTTAACTTTAGGCAGGCAAAGGTGTGTTGGAACCGGTACACATACAGCAATAGCTCTCTCTGTATGTAGACATTCCTTGCACAAACTGTGGAACTTACAAATCAGCACCTTTCTTTCTCTTTTTTCTTAAATAATGACTCTAACTTTGTATCCTTCCTTTACTCATATTGAAAGTCATCCAAAAAAGAAGTGTTCAGATTGTATGGTTAGTATTTGAACTGGCAGCAGTGACCTGATCTGAGAGCACAGCCTTTTTCACAAGCTTTGATGTCCTGTCAGGACAAATCCTGGGCTTCTTGGCATCAGGTTTTAATTTGCTATCATGGAAATAAATGGCATATTCAGTACTAGGGCAGATAGTGTCTGTCTATTATCAGGCTTGGGAAGTAGTTGGAGGTACTGCTTAAGTCAAATAATCAGAAAAAAAAAACTTATAATTTGTCAGTTTCATTATGTGTCTAGTAATTTGTCTCATTCATAATAAGTGTTTAGGGCATTTTTGATTGGGTTTCAGGCATGCATTACCTCTGACAGTAAACTCTGTTGCCACATGTACTCTGGGAGAGCACTGGTTAACAGCATATGGGAACTCTTTATCTCACTGCTTATAGAAATATTCAACAGTGCTACAGTTTTAGACACTATTAGAAACAAAGTACTGAGATCAAAATAAAGATAATTTTCATTTCTTACAATACTCAACTCATAAATGTCCTACACTCTACCTGTCTGTTTTGTGTGTGCATATAAATGTTAATGAGTGCCATGATATCTTTAAAGTAATAAGAAACCTTAGAAATTGCAATTCAAAGTGGTTTTATCCTGAACAGCAGTGCAAAGCCCTGGTTTAGGAAAAATTAAGAGCAGATGTTCCAGAATTCAGCCCTAATTTGCAATGAATTGCTTCAGTAAAAGCATTTATATCAATATTGTTAATCTTAATGGTTACAAGTGACCCATGTTTTAACAATCCAGAACATCAGTTGAGTACAAAATCTCTTTTTCTAATTAAGAATGTTTGACCACAAGAGGGAGTTCCTTGCCAACTGTTTACTTAGCTTCAACAGATAGGATGGGCCTGAATTTACAAAGAAAAATACCTTCAAATATATTTAGTTTCCTCAGTGCTTTTAGATTGAGAAAATGGTGACAATCTATTTAAATTTAGGTCTTCATGAGTTTCCAGAATGAAATATAATTTGCACTATGAAATTCTTAGGTTAGCATACCAATCATTTTTCAGGAATGAAATGATGCGCCATGTTTTTGAAAGAGGTTTCAAAATTTGCACCTGCAAAATTGCAGTGCACCAGTTTGTGAACAAAACCCACAGTGACATACCAAAGATTCTTTGAGGCCATAGATTGTGCCACTGTACACCACTTAATTTGCATGAATAAAGATATCTTTGTCTACATAAACTGACACACATCTTTTTGCTGAATTTGGTATCGTCAGTGAATACAGTCTAGGATGTGGAATGTGACTTTGAAGGTACAAAATTAAGTTAGCATGTTTGAAGAAAAAAGTAGTTAATGGTTCAACTAGTGGACTCCTTGGAACACACATTAAGGCTATTTTCCTCACGATTAGGTACATAATATACCCAATATCTCAACCATATATTAGAAAGCTGAAAATATTTCCTGCCTCATGAGGATTTGCCTTAAAATTACATGTAATCCAGAGCATGCTAGTAAAATGTGTGCTGACACAGCTTTGAAAATGTATCAGCATAATTAGGAAATATTTTATATATGCAATATTCTCCGTGTACTTTTTCATTTAAGATAGAAATGTAGGATTGTTTTAAAACTTGCGTGTGATTCCACCAAGAATTTGACTTTTGCTGTGATTATTCTTAAAGTTTTACACCATAGCACCTTGAAGTGACACTCAACAACATCTTCATCTTAAGATGAGAGCAAGAATTCTCCATTCCAAAGCAAAGGGGCATTTAGAGATAGGGACTCTAGCATACATATCGAGTTAATTAATACATTTAACAGTAGTAAATGCAGTAATTTTGAAAACTTGTTTGGAGGAAATAACTGCATCTCACATGTGTGG